CAAGGAGGAAGAAGGCTAAGAGCCCATCGCTATATCCCAGAAGCCCTGGTGACAGAAATAGTCCCTTTTCCTTGTCTTGCAGGTCCTCGTGGTCGACCTCGTCAACAATCGGTTCCTCAGACAGGTGAGTGGAAGGGCCGGCTGCAACCCGCTGCTCGCTCTCTTTCTACCTCTCTGGTGCTTGGGGCTCAGCCTTCCGGCTCCTCGGTGGGCCTGGGGTTGCAAAACAGGCTGGTGGGGCTGGCGATGCCCAGCCAGGGCTGGACTGAGGAGGAGGCAGAAGGCAGGGGCCAAAAAGGGTGGGTTTGGCAAAGGATTGATCCCCACATGCCCTGTCACAAAATGGTTTTCTAGTAATTAGAATCTTTGTATAGGTTTAACTATAGACTTGTGTGTTTCTTTTTTTTTTTTTTTAAACATATCTTTATTGATTTCAGAGAGAGGAAGGGAGAGGGAGAGAGATAGAAACATCAATGATGAGAGAGTCATTGATTGGCTTCCTCCTGCACACCCCCAACTGGGGATCGAGCCCGCAACCTGGGCATGTGCCCTGACCCGGAATCGAACCTCGATCTCCTGGATCCTAGGTCGATGCTCAACCGCTGAGCCACGCCCGGCCAGGCTAGACTTGTGTTTTTCAATATGCTTTTAAAGAATATTTGAGAACAAAGTTTATGATGTAATATTAAATGGAAAAAATCAGGATACAAAATTACATACATATTTTTGCTGACCTTTTTTCTTTAAAGGAAAGGAAAAAGAATATATATGTATATGCCTCTAAAAAAATTGGGAAGGAAAACTCACCAAAGACTGAAAAGGAGACAGATTATGAGTGATTTTATATTGTTTTCAAACTTTTATGTATTTTCTATAATGATTATAAACTACTTTAATTATTAGGGAAAGTAATACACCATTATCTTCTCGCTATCACTTGCCAGAGAGGTCTAACTCCATCAGATCTTGTAAAGGACCATTACAGGAAGATTTTAGGGGCATTCTGTTGGATTGCTTGTAAACTTGGAGTTGCCGCACTGCTGGAAAATTCTGTCATGTTAATGCCATTTTCTATCATTAGTTTCACTCACTTTCACTCCCTGGAGGCCCTCAGGTAGGCCCTTCCCCAGGTTCTGCTGCTCTAAGGCCCAGACAATAAAGCCAGCTTTTTTATTGATTGATTTGAGAAAGAGAGAGAGAAACATCGATTTGTTCTACTTATTCTTCGTTCGTTGGTTGATTCTTGTACGTGCCCTGACCAGAGATCAATCCCACAACCTCGGCATATTGGGAAGACTCTCTAACCAACTGAGCTACCCGGCCAGGACCATAAAGCCAGCGTTAACCCTCTGGTCAGCTGCCCTGGCCAGAGTGCTCTGATCAGTACTAGCCACCCTACAGGGTAGGGGCAGTGGAGAACATTTCTTGAGTAACCACTAAGTTCCTAGCTTTTTAGAAAGATAATTGTGTTGCATTTAAAATTGATCCCCAGCTGTATCGAGATATTATTGACATATAGCATACGTAAGCTTAAGATGTACAGCCTGATAGTTTGATATGTGTATGTATTGTACAGTGAGTACCACAGTAAGTTAACCTGGCCATCGCCTCACATAACGACCTTTTTCCTGTGTGTGGTGGTAACATTTGAGATCTGCTCTCTTAATAACTTTCAAGTATATAATACAGTGTTAACTTTAGTCACCATGCTGTCATTAGCTCCCCAGAACTTATTCATCTAGAGCTGGAAGTTTTTACCCTTTGACCAACATTTCCTTCAACCCTAGCCTCTAGCAATCTCCACTCTATTCTCTATTTCTAATGAGTTTGGCTTTTTTAGATTCCAAGTGTGAGAACAAACGGTATTTGTCTTTCTCTATCCGCTTTATTTCTCTTAGCATAATGCCTTCCAGTTTCATTCATGTAGTAGCAAAAGGTAGGATTTTTCTTCTTTTTTATGGCTAAATAATATTCCCCTCTGCCCGGCCAGCATTATTCATTGGTTGAACATTGACCTATGATCCAGGAGATCAAGGTTCAATTCCCAGTCAGGGCACATGCCCGGGTTGCAGACTCGATCCCCAGTCAGGGGCGTGCAGGAGGCAGCTGATCAATGACTCTCTCATCATTAATGTTTCTATCTCTCTCTTCCTTTCCCTTCCTCTCTCTGAAATCAATAGATATATTTTTTTCTAAAAAGCCTATTCAGTTCCTTTGCTCAGTTTTTAAAAGTCATTACCAAGACCAATGTCAAGGAGCTTTTTCCCGATGTTTTCTTCTAGTAGTTTTACAGTTTCTGGTCTTATATTTAAGTCGTTATCCATTTTGAGTTAATTTTTGCTAGTGGTGTTAGTTAGATAGGGGTCCAATTTCATTTCTTTACATGTGAAAATCAGCACTATTTATTAAAGAGACTGTGCTTTCTCCACTGCATATTCTTGGCTGCCTTTGAACTATTAGTGACCATATACATGCGGATTTATTTCTGAACTGTTGATTCTGTTTCACTGGTTTGTGTGTCTGTTTTTATGCCAGTGCCACACTGTTTTGGTTACTTTACTTTTATAATTAAGTTTGAAACCAGGAATTGTGATGCCTTTAGCTTTGTTCTTCTTTCTCAGGATTCCTTTGTCTATTTGGGGTCTCTTATACTTCCGTGTGAATTTTAGGAATGTTTTTCTGTTTCTGTGAAAAATTCCATTGGAATTTTAATTGGGATTGCATTGACTCTGTAGCTCACTTTGGGTAATGTGGACATTTTAACAACATCAGTTCTTCCAATCTGTGAACACAGGCTCTCTCTTCCTCTATTTGTGTCTTCAATTTCTTTCATCAGTGTCTTGCATATTGCATTTAATTTTTACAGTGAGGTAGATATTGATTGGGAGCCCATCTTACAAATGGGGAAACTGAGGCTTACACAGCTTATAAAAAGAGGAATCAGGATTTAAACCTCAAACCTCTGACTCTAAGGCTTGTTCCGTCCACTAGACAGAGCTGTGCAGGCCTGCCCTGCAGTGTACCCGGCGTGTCCTGCTGCCCAGGACGCGGCGCCATCTCCAGAAGCATTGGGCCATGGCCCACTGTTCTTTCTGCCTTACAGATGGATGACGAGGATTCCATTCTGCCCCGGAAGCTTCAGGTGGCCCTGGAACACATTCTGGAACAGAGGAATGACCTAGCCAGTGACCAGGATGAAGGGCCCCCTGACTGCAAGCACGGTAAGTGCTCAGCCACTGCCACACTGCATCCCCTCTCCCACCATTAGTTGGAGAGCATATGGACAATGCCGTCCATCCACCTGGCATTGGGTTAAGTAGGAAAGTGCACAAGGAGAGGAACTGGGCGCTCAACCCACTCATAGATCTCATTTTAACAGTGAACTATGGGAAAAGTTCTCCCACCTTCCCCATTTCAGCCCTTAAGTATCTGTTTAAAGGAGGAAAAGAATTGATTTAATAACTTTGGGTAACCTTTTTATGAGTCATTGCACTTTTTCAACGGTATAATAAAAGTTGCTTGTATTACTAATTGGCTTGTCTCAGAGGCCCTGACCCTCACCCTCTGGCCCTTCCCCCCTCTGCTCAGGCCCTGAGTCCAGCCCCTTGAACCAGGTGGTGTCTGAAGCCTTCGTCCGATTCTTCGTGGAGATCGTGGGCCATTACTCCTTGTTCCTCACAGCGGGCGAGCGTGAGGAGAGGACCCTGCAGCGAGAGGCCTTCCGCAAAGCAGTCTCCTCCAAGAGCCTGCGCCGCTTCCTGGAGGTTTTCATGGAGACCCAGATGTTCCGGGGCTTCATCCAGGAGCGGGAGCTGCGCCGGCAGGATGCCAAAGGTCAGGGCATCTTCATGCTTGGGACTGAGACACCCAGAGGTGCCCATACCCCAGGGGCTGATGAGCAGGGAGAGTGGGCACAGATGGGAGCAGCTTTCAGCCACCTCTGGAGAACGTTCATATTTGAACATCTGAGCTGCTATAACCTGCCCTGATGCCTGTCTTCTTGGCATCTTTTCTCTCCACTAGCCTCTCCCAGAAGCACATTCTGGGTTCTGGTGGCAGGTGCTCCTCTGTTCCATTCTTTCCAGACACCCTTTCCTTCCCCTCTCTGTGGCCCTTCTGCTCTTTTCCACAGGCCCCCTCTCAGCCCTCTGCCCTCCTGTCCTGCCCCTCTCCACTGTGGAGCAGTAGGAGCTGGCTGGGGTGGGACAGAGGAGGGGAGTGCCCTGCCCTCCACCTTGCAGGAATGCGTGGGCTGGAAGCTGTGGGCCATCCCCTCCCTCCCTCTATTCCTGGAGCTCTTGTCTCTTTTACCTTCTCCTTCTCCCTGTGAGCTGAGCTCCATCACACCTCCAGGGATGGAGGAGGGCGAGGTCTGAGAAAAGAGGGTGACGTCATTCCTGCCTCTTTCCTACATCATCTTAAGCCCTTTGGGGATCTAAAAACTAGACATGTTGGTAAAGACTGTCACAGATGGGACTTAGACCTGAGTAGGGGTGAGATGCTCACCACCGAGGAGTGGCCAAGCAGCAACCAGGGAGGGTCCCAAGGGAGCAGCTGGCCCTAGGCCTCAGCGTCCTCTGGTGCTATGATCACAGAGACTGAGTTAAGGCGCCAGACCGTTCCCAGAGCTCTTCACAAATTAAAGACAGAGGCTGGCCCGGCCAGGCGTGGCTCAGCGGTTGAGCGTTGACCTAGGATCCAGGCGATCAGGGTTCGATTCCTGGTCAGGGCACATGCCCGGGTTGCGGGCTCGATCAATGACTCTCTCATCATTGATGTTTCTATCTCTCTCTCTCCCTCGCCTTTCCTCTCTCTGAAATCAATAAAGATATATTTAAAAAAAAAAGACGGAGGTTGATATCCAAAGAGACAAAAGAAAATTGATCAGAGAGTGAGTCACACAATGTCTGACGAAGGAATCTTTTTTTTTAATATATATATATATTTTTTAAATATGTCTTTTTCAATTTCAGAGAGAGGAAGGGAGAGGGAGAGAGATTGATAAAACATCAGTGATGAGAAAGACACTGATCAACTGCCTCCTACACTCCCCCTACTGGGGACGGACCATCAACCTGGGGACCTGGAATCAAACTGCAATCTCCTGAATCATAGGTTGATGCTCAACTGCTGAGCCATGCCAGCAGGGCAAGGGATCCTTTTAAATAGGCCTGTACACATAAATATCTGTTTACAGACTACTATTTGATAGAGAGGTCCAGACATAAAAGCTTTTTATTTTATTGTTTTTAGAGAAAGAGGAAGGAAGAGAGAGAAACATTGATTTGTTGTTCTGCTTATTTATGCATTTATTGGTTGCTCCCTATATGTACCCAGACAAGGGATCAAACCTGCAGCCTCGCTGTGTCAGGACAATGCTCTAACCAACTGAGCTACCTGTCCAGGGCCATAAAAGCTTTTTAAAAGCAGCATGGAGTGTTATTGCCCTAGCTTATTTGGCTCAGTGGTTAAAGCATCGGCCTGTGGACTGAAGGGTCCCAGGTTCGATTTCAGCCCAAGGGCATGAACCTTAGTTGCAGGCTCTATCCCTGACCCTGGTTGGCACATGTGTGAGAGGCAACCAGTTGTCTCCCTCACATCCATATTTCTCTCTCTTTTCCTTTCTCTCTGCCCCCCTCCACTCTCTCTGGAAAGCAGTGGAAAAAATATCCTTGGGTGAGGATTAAAAGTAAATAAGTAAATAAGTAAGTAAAAGCAGCAGGGAAGGAGCCCACTGTCCGCAAGGATGAGAGAGATGCAGGCAGTGCCTGAGGCCCAGACCTGGGGTGAGAGCTGAAGGCCCCCCAGAGGTGGCTGCCCAGCCTTCCCGGGTTCACAGATGGCAAACAGATTCCCAGGAAGCCACACCCCGTGCCAGGGTCCCTCTTACAGGAGAGCACGAGGAAAAGGGACAACCCCAGGGGCTCCCCAGAGCCGGGACTGCCTGGTTCATCTTTGGAACGCATGCCTGGCAGTGTAGACACTTGGAAGGTGCTTGCTGAGGAGGAATGGGCTTTCATGCAGGAGCCGGCTTCCCAGCTTTCCAGAGACAGTTATTGCACGGAGTTGGGCAATTATAAGGGTCATAAACGCTCTTGTAAACCCCATGATTGAGAGGATGTTTATGAAGCAGCTCGTCCCAGGAGCAAGGTCCCCTTTCCCGCGGCGGCGAGGGGCCGGTGTGGTTGCACCCGGGAAGGCCCCCTGATGCCAGGCTCTCTCTGCAGGTCTGTTTGAGGTCCGCGCCCAGGAGTACCTGGAGACTCTGCCCAGCGGGGAGCACAGCGGCGTCAACAGGTTCCTGAAGGGTCTAGGTAAGGCCGCCGGCCCCACGCCAGCCTCCGCGGGAGCCGGGCCCTCGGGGACGCAGCGCCCTGAGGCCTGGCCGGGCCAGGCCGCTGTTGGCCTTCTCGCCGCCTTCCCTAGCCTGACCCCCGAGTGTAAACTAAGGGCACACAGCCCACCAGCTCTCCTGACCCTGGGCTGGCTCGCTCCGTCTTCCCTGCCCCCCGCACTCCTGCACCTTGTGGGGAGCTGAGCCTG